CTGCCTCATTCTAAAATTCCGGAATTAGTTAACTAGAATTACTGCAAGTTCTTATTTAATTCCGTATGCAGGATTCATCAACTCCTCTGTTCTCCGAAACCAACTCAGAGGATGATCAAGTAACAGAGTTTGACTCCCTGGTCGAAATGATTGAGCAAAGTTTGCGAGGTTTTGGGTGTAGCCAGTTAATACAAGTCCTCATTTACATATTTGGAGGATTCATCAACTCCTCTGTTCTCCAAAGGACAGAGGAGTTAATGAATTCCAGAGGATTTAGGAAATCGTAATTAAAATTTTTTGTTTAGCTTGCAGTCGTCTCTCTAACTGAGAGTAACTTGCTCTTTGACGCTCCCTGATTATTGTGTGGATTTGTTCTCGCAACACATTGTGATTCATCTTTTGGTCGTAAGAAATTTTTTTCCTTTCATGTATTGCAATGCCTGTCACTGCTTTTATAACCATCATCTCCACTGATATATGGATATACTCAAGCTTAAGATTTGTGTGCGGGTTTTTCCGATCGTCAGTGCTCACAACTGCTCTTGTTTTGTTAACGGAGAAGGTAGGAAGAAAATGGCAAGGTCCAGTGGGTATCATTGGATTTTCTTTATTTTCTTTTGGAATATTAACCTTACCAGCAATTGTTTACATGAATAGAGATTCTTCCTGGAAAATCCTTTATGTTTGGACTTCAGTTGCGGCAATCTAGTACTGTATAATAGTCTGTCCTTTTGTCAGTGAATCTCCTAGATGGCTTTTACTGAATGTATATGAAGCTGAGGCAGTGGCAGTACTGTGAAAACTTTCATCATCATCAGTTATTTTTTTACAGCTTGAACTTGAATTTGTCAAACATGCCTCCTAAGGAAGAAATGCAGAAGTTCAACTTTTACTAGTTTATGAAGGAAATGCATGTCCAAGAAAAAATGGGCTTTACGAATGTTATTATTGTTGGTTATGGGTGTTGCTTTTTGCATAGGCTTAATTTACTATGGCATGCTGTTGGACGTTGGAAATTTAGATTCAAAAATATATTTTTCTTTTATGTTGAATGCTTTATTAGACATACTTGCCTATGCTCTATCATATTTCATAATAGAAAGATGGAATAGGACAACTTCAATGCTTGCATTTTGTATAGTAAGTGTGATTTGTGGCATAATTAGTGACGGACGCTTACAATTTGATGTTATTCTTCCACACTGCATGTGTATCACTCAACGTGGTACTGATATATGCGTGTTATAACTAACACCAAATCCAAAACCTAAACAATTGCACACAAGAAAAAACAAACACACATACAAGAACGACAAGAATTACTGTAGTTCACTTGCTCAATATTAAGCAAGCTATGTTCACGTTGAGTTCGGAAAATAGGCAAACTCGCTGTACTACTTTTGAGTAAGAATCTAATACAGATTTATACACTCAGTACAACAATCTCTCAATCCTCAATAATTCTGTAACTAACCCTAGAGACCCTCTCCTTGGAATCCCTAACGATATATGTGTACAACCACTCCCGAATGATCTGAAACCAATCACTCAAAACAAGTTACAAGATTCAACCCACAAATCACAAGAAAAACAGACCCAATTTGCTCGACCGAGAAGAAAGAGAGAATAATTCCTAAAGAAAATATCTGCCTTTAAGTGTGCTGTTATGCTGTTGTCCAAGGAGACTCATTGCAGCCGTTGGATCTTCAGTCAATCAATGCTCAGAATTAACGCACCCTTTGCTCAAAACGGCACCGCTTCAAGCCTTCACCACAACAATGCGACCGAGTTATTTCCCACTTCCGTCAGAAACTCTACCACATCGAAGGTGGGACAAGCACTCAATGTTTGGTAAGAAGCGAAATGGGTTCCTCTCGTTTGCATTATTCATGTTGCTTAGTGGTGTCTTCCCGGCTTGTTTTCTTGAGACAAGAGGTGTGAATCTTTGTGAGACCTTGGATGAACAAGAATGTAAAGATACCACCATTATGTATGTAATACCCTGTATTTATTTAGATTTTATTTAATTTTTCTTTTTATGCTTCGGTTTGTACTACTCTCCACTTATGTTTTATAAATGGATTTTAAAGACACTTTTCTAGAAAGGGTGTTCATAGATTAAAATCAAATCAATTTCAATCAATTATATGAAAGAACAATTATAACAGTTGTATATGCTAGCCATACAATACAAAAAGCTGTTTGTTATTTGACCTATATATGCATAATGCATATCTGCTGCTTTTGAATTTCCATTCAAATTGTCGTTGCTTTAATTAGTTGGCTCCAGCCTATGCCTATCTCTTGATCGACAACAAAATAAAATTGAAAATTGAAAAGCACATAAACACAGTTAGACACACATCAGTAGTTAGTTCTAGAATCAATAAACGATAACCATGTATATGTATTCAATTCTCTAATTCATGAACTAGCATCATTACAAGGTTGATATGTGTTGTATTCAGTGGCGGACCCAGGATTTTTGCCTGGGGGGACCCTTGCTTTGCCACTGTTTGCCAATCAACGAGTGAAAACATAAGAAAATAATATCCAATTCACAAGGAAATACAAAAAAAATTGTTACGTGGAAAAACCTCTTCAATGTGAAGAGATAAGAAAAACCACGGGAATTTAACGATTCACTTAAATCCAATATAATCAAAAGAGTTTACTGATGCGTATTTTTGACAAACATGCAAATGTAGCAAATGCACTAGTCGCAAAAAGTAATAAAGTGATAAGTATAGTATCGTTCCCACGAGGATAGTGTTATTAAGTACCGATTTCTCTAGTTTAAGCCCTAATTGAAGCAACAATAAATTGGATTGATGGAAAATTAACGAACTAAATACAATTTAAGAAAATACAAATGAATGATAATGAAATTAAAGCAAAACCCAACAATTTAACTAATAAAACAAAATGCTAAAAAAATGCTAGGGTGTTGATTTTACTTAGATACGCTAACCCAAATCATAGAATCTATTACCCAAGTTCTAATTCCTTGATTGAAAATGGAATTCTCTAAGTTGTAAAACATACCTTCTCAGGCTATATTTTCCTACTTATCCCTATTAACCTTCCGCACCCAACAAAATGAAGATTAATAGTTCAAAGTCTTTTAAGCTTTATAGAATTCTATCTAGATTTCATAAATCGCTAAACCTATCTCTAGCGTTTGCTTAATCTATGGTATTTATCCCAAGAGGCACAATCACAAATCACTTCTCAGTCTCATTGTAAACAACACACATTTGAATGGTGATCAAATATTCAAAAGTCATTAAGTAAAGAGATAAACACTCAATCATGAAATTAAAACTCAAAGTAAATCAATCCATATAAATTTGAATCATTGTATCAAGGCTACATCAAACCCTAGCTAAACAACTCAGTTCATACTCAAAAACAAAATAAAAAAACAAAAACAAAAACAAACTGAACCAAGATTCATCATTGAAAAACAAGCAAAAGATTGAGAAATCTTCTCTAATTTGAAGCCCAAATCTTCAATAATCTTCTCATTCCAAGAGCTGCCTTCCAAATGACGAATCAAGACCCTTTTTCTTTCATTTTTGTGCTAATTTATACTCTTTCATTTAAGGACCAAGCCCTAGCAAGCCAAAACGCGTCGTTTTATTTTTCACATGTGACGCAGTTTCATCGCGGCAAGAATCTTTTGGGCCACATTTGAGCGTGAAAGAGTTTGAATATGGAAAAGTGTTAAACATATGAATTTTAACCCTTTAAATTATCTTTCTACTTGTTCAAGAATCAGCACAATCCGAGGTCTACAGCGCAAGTTATGGCAGAAATACTGAAGCATGTCCAAAGACGTTTTTCTTCAGTTTCCAACGTACTGTTTACGACTTCAAGCCAAGTTTTCACCCTTGTCCAGTCAGAATTAGGAAAAACCCAAAACATGAAAGTTGTAGATCTGCTTCTTAGCTTTCCAAAAATTCTATAATCAGGTCATTCTGATTTTCCAAGCTCAAGTTACGAAATTTACGCTCAAAACTGTCATTTATACTCAAAATCATCGTTTAGGCTTGCAAAGACAAATTAATAGAATTAGGTAGCAATTATGATGCAAATTGTATGAGAAGTATCCTAAATCCTATCGAAATTCAATATAAAATCATAGGGAAAAGTAGGATTATTATTTACAACAACCACAAATCTACAAAAAATATTCTACACAAATTTAGAGCTCAATCACAACTCTAACAAAAGTAGAATACATAAAAGTTTACCAAAATATGGATTACAATCACTCCAGATCAGAACCGCATGTAAAAGGGAAGTTGGGAATTGGGAAAGAAAAATTTGAATATAAAAAAGATAAAACCTAACTTTTTAATTTTTTAACTTTTAATTTTTTTTTTTGACCTTTGAAAAAAACTTTTCAAATTTTTTTTTAAAGTTGAGGGCAGGCCTGGGCCTACCCTCAGGGCCTGGGTCCGCCACAACTTGTATTATAAATTTTGGGATATCATTACCTACTTCCTGAGTGTGTATTTCGTTACCTGGATCGCACTGCATTAAATACCCTTTTTGCATTATTTCTCACTTTTTCGGAAAAATCAGAAATTGAAGAGTACCTTCTGGGTTGTGAATGATGTTCAAAAGTTAGCTACAATCAAGTAACCAAAAAGAAGAAACGGAGTTAAGGTTTGAGAAGAAGGAATTGCCTTAGAGAGTTGACAGAACTTCAGAATCCGTTACAGTACGTAAGTTAAAAGACCAAAACGGCAACGTTTCAGCATATGCTTATTAACTAAAGAATCTTAAAGTCTACAACGAGTCAAGCTAAAGTGTTTTAGCTTCTTCGCTAAGAAAGAGTAGAGATCCTACGGTCTAGAAATTGTCATTCTGTGTTTGTTGTATAAGTATTGAATGGTTGAGATTTTCTACTGTTGTAAATCACATGGGTTGCCACCTCAGATCATTTGTTAACCATATAAGCATTATGTAGCTATCTCTTCTTTAAGGAGTCTTTCATCAAGTCTTCAATTCTCAAGTGTCATAATGGCTTCATCATCATCATCTTCTTCTTCTTCCAGGGTTTCTGAAAAATATCATGTTTTTCTTAGTTTTAGAGGTGAGGATACACGTGACAACTTTACAAGCCATCTCTATGCAACTCTGTGTTCAAAGAAAATCAGAACTTTCATTGATGATGAGCTTCGTAGAGGAGACGAAATTTCACAAGCACTTTTGAATGCGATCGAAGAATCAATGATCGCGGTTATTGTTTTCTCGGAAGGTTATGCCACATCTAGATGGTGCCTTGAAGAACTTGTAAAGATCATTGACTGCAAGAAATCGAGAGATCTGATGGTAATACCGGTTTTCTATCGAGTAGATCCGTCACATGTAAGAAACCAAAAACGGACATTTAGGGAAGCATTTGTGAAGCATGAAGAACGATTTGAGCAGAGCTTGGAGAAGGTGCTGAGATGGAAGAGTGCTTTGACAGAAGCAGCTGCTCTCTCTGGCTTTGATTCAAAAAATTTCAGGTGGTTGCCGCTTTAATCTTTACTAACAGTTATTTTGTTTACAGTACTTTATATACACAATATATTGATTTTGATTTGATGAAGTCTTTTAGATAAATAAGATATATTATTGATGAAAAAAATATTTATGCTAGTGTCTTTGATTTTGAGAATATATTATTTAATTTTTAAAGCACTACTTGAACGTTTTAACTAAAAGTTATAGATTATTTATATTTTGTTAGCAAATAATATAATTAACTATTTTTATTTGATTAAATTCACTAAAAAGTATAAATTTAGAATTAAATTTCCAAAGAGGTACTGGAAATTAACCAAAGATTCTTACATAACTTAAGAAACGTACTACGAACTTTACCTTTTGTCGGTTCTTTCACAAGGCCTGATGAAAAGATTAACATTTGGCAACTGTAATGAAAACTTTCCATTATATTGTTCTTTAGGCCTTAGCGTAGCTATAATAATTAAAAAGCATTATGATTTCTCTTTTTATATAATTGACTAAAGCCGTGCTTTATAGTTGCTAGGACTGAAGCTGCTTTAATAGAGGAAATTGTCAAATCTATCTTGGAAAGACTGAATCATTTGTCCCAAATTGACAATACGGGCCTGGTTGGAATACAATCAAGAATCAAGAAAATTGAGTCGTTATTATGTATTGAGTCCGAAGATGTTTTCAGAAGTGTAGGACTTTGGGGAATGGGTGGTATAGGCAAGACAACTCTCGCTGATGCCGTATTCAAAAAACTCTCAAGTGATTTTGAAAGTGTCTACTTTCAAAGTAATGTCAGGGAAGAGTCAGAAAAATTTGGATTAGTTCGTTTGAGTAAAGAACTTGTTTCTGCAATATTGGGGGACCAAAGCGCCATTTTAGAGTCCGCCCTCTCTAAAATTTGGCTTCACAATAAAAAAGTTTTCATTGTATTTGATGATGTGACATGTTCATCACAAATAGAAAAGTTAATTGGAGGTCTTGAATGTTTTGGTTCTGGAAGTCGAATAATTATAACAGCAAGGGATAAACAAGTTCTTAAAAATTGTGGAGTGAGTCATGATAACGTATATACGGTTCAAGAATTACTATTTGATCATGCTCTTGAACTTTTTAGTCGTCATGCATTTAAACTGCAGTATTCCCCCACAGGTTACATGGAGCTGTCATCAAGGGTAGTAGCATTTGCTAAAGGTGTTCCATTAGCTCTTAAAGTTTTGGGCGCATCGCTGTTTGAAAAGACAAATTCAGAATGGGAAAGTGCATTGCGTAAGCTTAAAAGAAATCCAAATCGAGAGATTCAGGATGTGTTGAAAATAAGTTATGATGGGCTAGATGATCAAGAGAAAAATATATTTCTAAACATTGCATGTTTTTTGCAACATGTTCCTAGAAAGACTGTAATAGAAATCCTTGATGCTAACGGGTTTGATTCTGAGATAGGAATAAGTAATCTCATCGACAAGTCCCTTCTAACTATAAATGTGCTTGGTAGAGTTAGCATGCATGATTTATTACAAAAAATGGGACATAAAATTGTCGAGCAAGAATCTAGATGTCCAGGCGAACGTAGCAGGTTATGGCATCATGATGATATCTACCATGTGTTAAGAGGAAACACGGTAAGAGGCTTATTGATTAACTTTTCAATATATAAATAGGGGTTTATTTCATTTTCCCGCTATGACATCGTTTAGAATAAACTCATCCGTTTTGTTCAAATTGTGTTTTTTATAATTTGTAAGGCGGTGTTATTTTTAACGGGGGTTTTTGATAATGATATGGGTGTTTTTAGAACTTTGTGAATGAAATGGATAAGTCTGATTTTAAATGATCTCGTTGGGGGAAATTAAAATAAAACCCTATATAGAACATCGGTAACTTATTTTTGTTGTCATGCATTATGCATATTCACTTATTAATTGATTCAATTTGATAACAAAATGTTTTAATAATAGCTTTTACATTTATTTGTGATGCTAATTTACTGTCCCTTGATTGTTAGGGAACTGACAAAATTGAATACATCTCCTTGGATTTTTCTAAAATAAAAAAGATCAACTTAAATCGCAATGCTTTTTCGAAGATGCGAAGCCTCAGATTCTTGGACTTTCATTCGAGGCTTTGGTCTGATGGTGGCTATTCCAATTACTGCGAATGCTTATTATTGGATGAATACAGGGTTTGTTCATATTGTTTCTTGAAGGAAGACTATAAGCTGAATGCTCCGCAGGGCCTTAAATTTGATTCCACTTACTTAAGTTACGTTCGGTGGTTTAGATATCCGCTGCCTTCATTGCCATCAAATTTCGATATGGAAAATCTCGTTGCACTTATCATGCCTGGTAGCAAAATTAAACAGCTTTGGAATGGTCACCTGGTATACGTATCTATCTTGATATACATTTTTTTTTCTATAGTAAATTATAAAGCTCATATCATTTGTGTTGTTACCTAATTTTTTTAAATTTGCCCTTGCAGTATTTAGATAAGTTAAGACATCTTAACCTCGCCCACTCGAAGGATCTAATTGGAATTCCAGAACTTTCAATGACCCCCAATCTTGAGAGTTTGAGTCTGGAAGGTTGTACAAGTTTGATTGAGGTTCCTTCATCGATTCAATATCTAAATAAACTGGTTATCTTGAATCTTAAAGGTTGTAAGAGTCTTAGCAGTCTTCCCACCTATATTCAATCAAAATTTCTTCGATATCTTATTCTCTCTGGTTGCTCAAGTCTTGAGATGGCTCCAAAGATCACATGTTGTATGGAGAGAGTATATTTAGATGGAACATCTATAATAGAATTGCCCTTAACCGAATGTCCATCAAGACTAGAATATTTGAATCTTGAAGATTGTTCAAGGCTTGAAAGTCTCCCAAGCATCATTTGTGAGATAAAGTCTCTTGGATCCCTTTGTGTCTCGGGTTGCTCAAAACTCCATAATTTGCCCAAGGACTTAGGAAAATTAGAATCTTTGTTTAAACTTACAGCTAATAATACTTCCATAAGAAAATTACCATGTTCCATGTTATCTTTGAACAAACTTAGGATGTTATGCTTGGGTGGATATAGGGGTGAAGATCTGCTGGTGGATTCAGTATGGCCTTTTTTATCAGATTTGAGCTCTCTAGAATATCTAGATTTGTCTGATTGTCAAATCACAAGGCTACCTGATAGTCTTGGCCAGTTATCCTCTCTAGATAGTTTAAATCTCAGTAGAAACAATTTTGAATGGATGCCATCAAGCATCCAACAACTTTCTGATTTGTATTATCTGGACATAAGCTATTGTTAGAGGCTTAAAAACTTACCAAAGCTTCCATTTAAGTATGGAGTGGTTGAGGCATATAATTGTGTATCATTGGAGTCATTTAATGCTGATTCATTCTTATCGGCGCATAGCTTCAACCTTGGTAACTGTTCCAAACTGGATCAGAATATTTTAAAATCCATGTCGGAAAAGGTATAACTTCCATACTCTAAATTTCCTTTTTATAATGTCTTTTATTTCATATTTTAACATATGCTGTTAAATTATATTCTTGGCACAGGAACATTATTTAGAAGGTGATTTCTGTTTCCCTGGAAACGAAATTCCAGAGTGGTTCATTTTCCAAAATGTAGGGAGTTCTATAACTCTTGAGTTGCCACCACTAAGTGCAATTATGATTGTAGATTCGTGGTTTACTGTGTGCCTTGTGGTAACATTTCCAGAACTTGACAAAGCTCCCCAATCTTTGGCTGTTGGTTTTAAGGTGATTGGCATAGATGAATATGGTAAGAGGCTGGAGATTGACGTGCTGAAAGGCGAAACAAATTTTCAAGGCAACAGTCTTATGTCAGATCATGTGATCCTGACAACTTTTTACCCATACTGGTGCCCCAGCCCCGAGTGGCACGAAATAAAATGGCGGTATGTTAATTTGGATTTCAGTGGAGAAAATTACAATGTGAAGAAGTGTGGGGCCGAGTTTCTAAATTGTCCTGATCGTCAATATTATGTTAGAATTTGAGGTGGGTCTGACTCCTCACTCAATAAGCCCTTGTTGAATAGGAGGATTACCTCTTCTTATAATCCAATAGGCTTGAGCGTGCCTAGTCAATGTGAGACTCCAACACTCTTCCTTATGGTGAAGTCCCAATGTTGGGTTATGCCTGTTATTGGAGGTAGTTGTTGGCTCCAACTCCTCATCTGTTGATCAAGCGTTCAACTCAACTGAACTTAGAGTCTGATATCATGTTAGAATTTGAGGTGGGTCTGACTTCTCAAATTCTAACATGTGAGACCATTTGGTGCACGAGTTGGAGGAAGAGAAAGAGGAACCAGTACCCAAAAGACAGAAATTTTAATTCCTTTTATGGCTGATCGAACTCTCAAGTGAAGTTTTTGTTGTTTCTGAGTTTGTAAAAAAAAAAAAAAAAAAAAAAAAAACATGTGCAATGAATTCATCAGCCGTAATTCTATTTATACAACCATTAATTTAACAATAATCAGCTGTGATTTTCAACTCTCAAGTTGATTGGATACAAGAACATGGAAAGAGGCAGAAAAACAGAGGAACAAAGAATAAACACGTCAGATTTTTTGTTCAGGCTTCTTTGCTGTGAACTTTTCCTTCAAATCAACTTAATGTTGCAAAAGACCAAAGTGGACGTTACCATGAAGATTTCTAAAGAAGTTCTTACAAGCTTGTTGCAAATGGTGATTTCATTTCTTTTGGGTCCTCAGTATTCATATATGAAACTATTTTAGCACATGTTAGAGACGCTGCTTGAGCTACTCCATCTCTGTCGTATGATTGAATAAAGCTAATAAGATTGACCCACTACCTTAATATTCTGTGTAAATGAGGATAGAGTATGGTGATGAATTCAGGTGATGTGGTTTAAAAGTATTCCATCTTCTCTGTTTCTCGGAAAGTAGATTAATTAATAGTTGATGATATTGTACAAGCAGTGGTAAAGGCATAGAAATCCATGAAATTAATATGGTAAAACAGGGAAAAGGAAAGTAACAAAGTTAAACTCGATCGATCAAGGCTTTTGGTTACTCTTCATCTTCTTTTTCAAATTTCCATATGTTTATCCTTTTGATGCATTAAGGACGCAGATTCTTATACAAACCATTACATAATTTCGGAGAAAGGGTCCATTTGGTAATCCTCTCCGCATACTAAACAATGAAATTTTGTCTCTTCTCAATATAAATGATGCAATCTTTGAATCTTGCTCCATCACTTCCAAAATGCTGCTTATTGGGAAGATGAAGTTTTCATGATTTATTAAACAATTTTGTGCATTGGGATAGATAAAGTTCTGTAAATGGAGAAGATGGGGAAAAGATGGCGGGGTCAGTTAAGAATCATTGGGATTTTTAGTTTCTCTTGGAATATTTTCGTAACCAGCTATAGCTTATATAAATACAGATGCTTCTTGGAAAACCCTTTACATTTGGACTTCGATTCCAGGAAGATTGTACTGTATACTAGTGCTTCCATTTGTCAGTGAATCTCCTCGATGGCTTTTCATTAATGGAGATGAAGCTGACGCCTTGACAGTTCTAAGAAACCTTGCATGATTTGTTGGTAATTTATGAAGAAAGACAACGTGATTTAGGAAATTGTATAAATCTTACTCGACATTTCTCTACAATAAAAGCTTTCTTGTCAGTAGAAGTAAACGTTTTCATTAATTTTGTCAGTAGATATGAACTTTAAAATGGTATATATCCGAGACAGATTGTTGTTTGTTAACTTGGTACAGGGGTTGTTTTTTCTAGCTATATTTGAACCGCGTCATTCTAAAATTTCTCGGAATTAGTAAGCCAGAATTACTGAAAGTTCTCATTTAATTACATATGGAGGATTCATCAACTCCTCTGTTCTCCGTAGCCAACTCAGGGGATGGTCAAGTAACAGAGTTTGACTCTGTTAACTGAAGAAAAGCAAGCTCCAACTCAATCCAAATCATGAACTGAAGAAGTGCTCTGTCTTTAAGTTTAAAAGCAGACAAGAAACGACTTAAAATGAAGTCGTATCAATTCTTTCCAGAAACGAAGACGTTTTGATCTGAAGTGAAGAATAAAAGAATGAACATTTTATACAACACACACATTTTGGTAAACTCAGTAATTAGATAAAGAATAAAAGAATGTTTAAACGAAAGAAGCAGAGCCCCTCAAGGCCCAAGAACCTGAAGAACACCATCAGGCAAGGCAAAAGAGAGGAGTGGCAACAACCTCTGAACCAAAAACAACCCGCCAACACAGACCCGTAAGGGTTGACACAGAAAGCACCAGGAGCAACTGCACAAACCAATCTGACGGCTCCAGAAACATAAATTTTTTTTTTTCCAGAAATTACTGCGGACCAAGACAGCACAAAGAGCCACCAACCGAGCTGCAAAACACCACCAGCTTAACTGCAGGACAACAGACTGCACAGACTTCAGCAGAATATGAAGCCACAAAAACTGCAGCCAACACAAAGCTTGGAAAAATTCAGCACAGTCAGCAGAGCAAACCAGACCAGAAGGAATCAGCAAGCACCAAATAGCATCGAACAAATCAAACACACCTTTTCTAGAAAGGGTGTTCATAGATTAAAATCAAATCAAGTTCAAACAATTATATGAAAGATTAATTATAACAATTGTATATGCTAGCCATCCAATACAAAAGCTGTTTATTATTTGAACTAGACATTGATTACTAATTAATTACATTACTAATTGAGGAAGCATTGTGTTTCTGTTCTTCTTCTTCCATCGTATCGCTGATTGTTTTGCCTCTTGTCTCAGGCAAACCAACCACAGACAAACCAAAAAGCCCCATCGACAAAGCAAATATCCCATAAGATACAATTGCATTTCTTCTTCCAGCTGCAACTACAACTGGACTGAGCACACCACCGACGACAATAGCTTGCCTCACCAATGAAACCGCCGAGTTTCGCACACAAGTTGGGAACAACTCTGTGGTAAATATCAAAAAGATGTTAAATGCAGTGCAGGCGCTGAAGAACGACACAATCTCTAACAAAAGCTGTAATGTCGTCTGCAAATTGCCCTCTACAACACACATTATATCACAAACCCCGCTGAGTATTGTGAAAAACGGTAAGGAAACTCTTCTGTCCACCTTTCCCACAATCAAGAAAGTAACCAGTGATGCTGGTAGCTCAGACAAGGCATTAAGTGCGACGCTCAAGTAGAGGTTGAATGCCAAATTTCCAAGGCTTAATGGCATGCCATAATACACCATCCCAATGCCAATACTTGCTATAAGAGCTGTTAATAACCTTCGAAAACACCAACTTTTTTTTAACATATTCTTGATAGTTGAGAGAGCATCATTTCGAGTTTCTTGCTCTATAGAAATATTGGAAAAGCTCATGGTAATTTTACAGTTATTAGGTGATGCAATACTCTTTAGGATCAATACGGCTTCTTGTTTACGGCCTTGCACAAAAAGCCATCTGGGAGACTCATAAACAAAAAAGCGAACTAACAGGCTATAGAAAATGGTAGGAATCGAAGTCCATAGATAGAGAATTCTCCATGAAGAACCTCTATTTATATAAGCTATAGCTGGTAATGATAAAAACCCTAGAGTGAAACACAAGAATCCAAGAGTCCCTACCTGGCCTCGCCATCGTTTCCCAAATAGCTCAGTTGATAAAACTAGCGCTGATGTTAAAATCGGCGCACGGCCGATTCCACAAACAAATCTCCAAGCTGAGTATATCCATATATTGGTAGAGAAAGTGGTGAGTAGAGCTGATACAGACATGGCTAAACATGGGAGGAAGATCATGTTTTTGCGGCCCAGTGAGGAGTCAGCGACTGTGGTTAGAAGAAGTCCACCCACAAGACAACCCATGAAGAAAGAAGACGCAGGCAGTCCCTTGACGAGAGAAGTCGCACACTCCAGACCCCATTCAGATACAATCGATGAGTGTAGAGGTAAATCCCATGACCATGACGTCTTGGGAAGTTTGCAAATGTTGGAAAAAGAGTCACAAGAGCTGTTTACACAATGCCATTTTGGCTCCACATCGGTGAAGACACTGATGAATGCTTGTTGAGCATCAAAGGTCCAAGCTAGTGATACAAAGATGGCTTGGAGAAATTGCGCCCATCCAAATTCTCCAATACACTCTTCGATTGCTTCATCTAGAGAAGGTTGACGTTTGGACTCAACAGAATCGGAACAGTTGAGAAAAGGAGTTGAATCAGCCATTTGCAGCTAGTACAAATTCTATCCATATTCTTCCATGGTTATATCCAATCATTTTATGTTGGATAAAAACACGATAGGTTACTAATCCTTTTTTAAAGATGCCTAATTGTTTGCTTCATTTGTTTTATTCAATAAATTAAGATTCCTAATTATTATTTTTGTCCTTTTGGTAATGTAATACTGGAAATAAAATAAAATAGAAAAAGTCACATCGAAAGGTTGAAATAATGTCCAAAATTCAAATTAATTAAAACCATTATCATATGATTGATTGCGAATGAAATCACAACAATTTAATAATGCAAATACTTCCAACCGTAGCAATAAGACTATTCTCATTTGGCACAACGTATTACCCTTCCCCTTAATGGTGAGGATGGTGTCAGTGCAGCAAGAGGAGTAATGACTGTAAGTATAACTTTCTCTCTCTTTTAAGGACATGCATATATATTATGAACTCAAATCAAACAATTCACATGCTGTAAATAATTAAATCCCAGATGGTCATATTCTTTTTTGGATTAAGTTATTAATTTGTTTATTTATCCTATAAACATATTAAATAAATAAAATTCGTCTCATATGTCTCCATGTTTTTCTGAGTAATAATCTATTGGCTACCAAACATAAACAATACTATATTAACCAAATTTTCAAAGTTACAAATACAAAATGTGCAAACCATTTTACAATATTGGATTACAAAAGTTAAAATAAAATTAAAAAAAAAAAAAACTCAACTTCAAACATCTCAACAAAATCATATCCCACTTTGCTTACATCTTTACACAACCATCTACCAAATTCACAAATCTGCTGCTGAATGAGCTGCAAATCTGCTACTGCAGCTCCATGCTACTATAGAATTATGTTGCAACAGTACCAAAGAATGCACTGAATGAACCACAAATTTGTAGAATTCTACCACACAAATATGAAAGAACTACAAATCTACAACTCCTAAAGGTGTAAAAATAACCCGCCCGTGGCAGGTAAGCAAAATTGCGGGTTGGGTTAGGCCCGGCCTACCAACAAGGGCAGACCGAGTTAGGCTCGCCTATTTGGCCAGATGGGTTTTTTTTTAATTTTTTTTTCTTTTGTGTAATTTTTTTAGCTAACTTTTCAAATATCAATAATTAAATTAAATTAAATTTTTTTGTTAACATTTCAAATATTAAATCAATTTTAATACAATTAAATTGTGATATAAGAAAAAATAGATTTATTCATTTACCAAAAAATAAAATAAGAAATAAGAAATTACAACAATTATTGTGTCATTAAAAACCTTACCAAGAAAAACCCAATTGGACAGAAACTTGATAAGAAAAAAAGAGTACAATAATTGACAGTTAATTTACAAATTATAAAGTTACAATTTATAAAACAACTAATTTGAGGGTTAACTAAGACCTCCTTCATCTGTATCATCTAAATTATAAAATTGAAATGATTCTATTAAAGTATCGTCGACAACCTTGTATTGATTATGATGCACGACCGTTCTCAATCTCAAAGACATGTGAGGACTTTAATCAATTTTGGTGAAAGTTTAGTCCTCCTATCATTTAAAATTCTTCCACTTGTACTAAATGTTTGTTCAGATGAGACGGTTGAGACAGGAACAGAGAAAACATCGAAGGCAAGTCTTGATAATACCGCAAAAACACATTTTTTGGTTTTCCAATATTCTAATACATCAAAGTTGGCTCTTTATGGTGGATCTGCTAATAGCACTTTGGTGATTCCCAAATATTGGAGAAGTTCATTAGTCTATAGCTACATGGAGACAGTATATTTGTTGTTGATGCTTCTGAAGAGGAGGCTATGCTTCGGGTTTGGGTTCGGGTTCGGGTCCTCTTCGGCTTATTAAGTGCATTCCAGGAGTCGAAGTCTTCATTTGTGTCTTCTGATGCTACTTCCTCAGGTATTTTGCCTCTTCGCTGGTTCCTATACCTACTTTCATATTGCAAATATATCTCTGCAAGACACTGTTTTATCTCCCCTAATTGATTGGCATATGCTTCGCCTCATAAATTTTTACCTAACATGTCTAAACCATTTTTTAAACCCGCTAATTTAATTCTAGGATCAAATATGATAGCTAAACAAAAAAGAAAAGGAAGGAGTTTCCAATATTTTTTAAATTTTAATTCCATTGCCTCTATTAGTCCTACTAAAATTTCATTGTTTCTATTTTTTTTTTTTTTTGAATAAATTTGAAAATTTTATAGTTGTATGTATTACCAATGGACTAATAGGATAATACATACCAGAAAGTTTTAAAGTAGATTGATAAAATTTTTTAAGAAAAGAATGAAATTTTTTAGCCAAATAATGAGGACTCCTATTATTTTCTACAAAATAACTAATTAAATTTATATAAGGTAAACATGAATCAAGCATTAAATAAGTACTATTTCATCTAACATGCATGTCTAATGCAAAAGTTCTAGGAGCATATTTGATTTTATACAAGTATCTTGAAATTCAGCATTTCTTCTATTTCTACTAGTAATCCAAGCTAAAGAACCTCTAATTCTATCAATATTATTTCTAATTTTTTTAATACTACTTTTCACACTTAAATTAATAATCTGACATGCACAACGTTGGTGAAAAAACTTTAAATTGTCATAAAAAGGAAATTTTAAAAAAAAAAAACTTATAACTCTACTATTAGCACTTGCATTATCTAAAGTTAAATGTATTACTTTGTGAAAAATATCATAATCTTCTAAAACTTCAACCATTTTATTATAAATTTGTTGACCACTATGATTTACATCCATTAATCTAAATCCCAATAAAGATTTATTTAATTTACATTCTTTATCAAAATAATGACTAGTCACATAAATATAATCTTGTTTAGCTCTACCACTCTTAATATCGGTGGTTAGAGCCATACTAACATGACAACTATGTATTTTATTTTTTAATTCTAATTTCATTTTCCCAAACAATTTTATTAAATCATTTCTAGTTGCAGTTTTAAAATAACTTTTAAATCCTGTAAAAAATGATTTTTTAATAAATCTTTCAAAATATTTATCTTCAGCCATATTAATAAGTTGATCAGTTGTAGCAATATATAAAGCTATTTGTTCCCTATATACATCAGAATTATAATGTCAAGTAGTACCCATATTAGTTATTTGAGTTTGATTGGTTTCTCTATTTCCATGTTGATTCATATATTTACTAGTATGCCTTTTTAAAGTACTAGTATTATTACCTACATCAGCTTTATAAATATTTCCACAATAATTGCATCTTGTTTTTTTCACTTGAACTCTATTTTCTGTGTTGTAAAACTTTTCAAAATGCACCCAAACGTCTGATGTATGCCCGTCGTCGGTTCCGACTACAATTGATGAACCCGCTTCTGCTTGAGATGGAGTTGGATGAGGGCGATGATTACGAGGATGACTTTTAGAACCACCGAGAGTTCTAACAGCATAGGGAGAAGGGTGAATATTATGAGATGTATCGAATTCTGAGAATGGGTAAGCAGGACTATTTGAATCTAGTGCATTAACGTTAGTAAATTCAAGAGGACTAGGATAATTTTCTTTATCATCAAAATTGATGGGATGAAAATATCTATCTATTCTAGTTAAAAAAAAAAGGATATAAAAGAAATAAAGAATTAAAGAATAAAGAAGGAGAATTGGAATTTGGAAATATGAATTGAAAATTGCAAAAACTAATAAAAATTAAAATGAGAGCAAATTGACAACAAATAGATTGAGAGATTTCAAAAGAGAAAATAAGAGAATTTGGGATGTGAGGAAATATGAGAGTTTATGCCCTATTTATAGAAAAAAATGGGAAAAAGAAATGACTAAAAAGACCCCTCTAACAGTTATAAAAATGCTATATTTCAAGGGTAAAATTGGTTTTTACAAAAAAAATATTTAATTTAATTTTTTTTATTTTTTTGTCCAACTCGTGGGTCAACTCAGTGGGTTGGACGTGTTTTTTTTTTTTAAAATATATATAACCTGCCGGGTCACTGGGTTGGCTTATGAAGACCTGGCTTTCCCGGTGGGGTATACACGGGCTGGGTTAAACGAGGTTGAGTCGGGCCCAGCTAGGATTGACTCGCCTAACCCGACCCATTTGTTCCATCTCTAGCAGCTCCAAACTTTGATAATATTTAGAGCATGACAACCACTTGCAGCTTCACTGCCCAAAAAAATACAAAAAAGAAACATCAAAACAAATGTCATAAAAGCTACAACTCTAAAAATATGCAATTTCCCAGTACTGCATAAAACCAAAACAAAACCACAAAAACAGGTCCAGCCTTCACCTCCAGCACACAAACACTGCATCGAAAAGTATTTACAGCACCAAAACAGTCAGCTTCACAATTTGGCTGCACCAAAAAATTGTTCATTTTGACCGAATCCAACCAACATGCAAATTAAAATTCAATGAAATCAACCTCATAATATGGAAATTTAAATTCAACAATATTTGAAGTTTCAATCAATATTCAACAGGTCTTGAATTACTAGCCACTCCATTACCAAGTCCTGCTGCCAGCAAACAAAAATTGCCAAAACTTGCTACATCTTCAACCAAGCTATTGGCTGGTAACCAAGCCCTTCTTCAACAACAATATGCTATGTCCAATAACTCCATACCCTGCATTTACTGTACTCTCCACAACAAAAACTCTCTTGCAACCAAACACCAAAACCCCACAAACAAGCGCCCCTAAAACTGACTCCCTCTTTCATCAAATCTTAACTTATTTGAATCCAAAACTTCATTTTTTTCACGACCCAGTTTTGCACTGACTTTGTTTATTGGTTTCACTTGGGTTCTAATGTCGAAAATTTTGTTTTTTGGCAATCTAGAGATGTGAAACTTTGGATAGCGATGAATTTTGGGTGCATTCTTTACAGGAAATTTAGGACATTGATTTCGGTGGAGGAAGAATGAGTTTTTTTATTATTGGAACAAACGTGGGTCAATTGAAAACCGAAGATTCAACAGCAAAATCTATGAAATATGAACAAAAATT